AAGAGCGAAACTCCGTCTCAAAAAAAAAAAAAAAAGAAAAAAAGGTAAAATTTAAAAAATAATAATAAAGGACCCCCTTGGTCATAACGTGATTTTAAAACATTCACACTATTTTTTCTTGTAGGAGATTTAACTACTGGTTCAATGTTTTGTTTTCTTTGCACCCCTGACTCGGAATGCAGGGTTCAATGTCTTTAAAACAAATTAAGTCTATGCAAGGTTTGAACTTTGCCTTGAGTCGATTCCGTGCTGTATTTCTCCTGGGAATGGGCTGTTTGCTCGGTTTTCAGGTGGTCACAAAGTTGTTTATGGAATTCTTCCACCACAGCGCCGTGTCTGCTGCCTCCGTGACCACGCTACTCTTTCTGTCGACATTGCTTATTTGCGTCTCTTCCTCTTTCTACTGATTTTTCTGCCAGATGGTAGACTATTTATTAGTTTTTTTTTCCACAGAAACAAGCTTTAACATTATTTATTTGTTGACTTTTGAGCCAGAGTCTCACTCTGTTGCCTAGCTGGAGTGCAGCGGTGAGATCACGTCTTACCGCAACCTCCGCCTCCTGGGCTCAAGCGATGCTCCTACCTCAGTTTCCCAAGGAGCTGGGATTCCAGGCGCCCGTCCCCATGCCTGGCTAATTTATTTTCAGTTTTTGTAGAGAGGTTTTCGCCATGTTGCCCAGGCTGGTCTCCAACTCCTGGGCTCAGGTGAGCTGCCCGCCTCGGCCTCCAAAAATGCTGGGATTACAGGTGTGAGCCACCGCACCCGGCCAACACCGGGACAATGCTTCGTTTTCTTGATCTTCATTAATTTTTATTTTTCGTTATATTATCCTTTTATGTTTTTCCATTCTTCTCTTTGCCTTGGTTTTAGGGTCTTGTTCATTTCCTCATTTCATAAATTAGATGCGTCCTTGTTCATATTTTCCCCTCATATTTTAGTTCTGGCGTAATCCAGACTTTGCTGTCTCTGTTCTTCAGTGTCCCCCTTTCTGATGGAAGCCTCCAGGCCCCCATTTTCCTCTGTGTTGTCTCAGCCACTGCCAGACTTTGCTCTCTGTTCTCCCATTCTCCTGAAGGTCTAGCCTCGACCGCTCTGCCTGGCCTCGTCCTCTCTGGTCCCCGAGCTACTTGGGCATGTTTTTACCTGCTAGCCTTTGCTGAACGGGCTGTCTCCTGGCTGGGTTCTGATGTGGCTGCGGAGGGCGGACAGTGGGCTGCGGCGTTCTTGTGTCCGTGGCCAGCTTTGGTCACCGTCTCCCGTGCCTCCTCTAGTTTGGAGGCTCCACTTCTGTCCCTGTCTGTTCCACCAAACCAAGTGGTTTCGTTCCAGACCCAGGCGCCTCTCCCCCGCGCTCTGCGGGGAGCACATTCTGTGCACTAGGCTCGCAGGCTCCTTTGCCCCTGCGATGGCACCGCAGGCTCCCACCGCCCTCCCGGTCCCCACTGTGGGCGGAGTGGGGGACAGAGCCCCTGCCCGTGGGTGGTGATCACCTCTGTCCCCAGCAGAGCTGCTTGCCTCCTGTCCATTCGGAGCTGCTTAGGGGCCTTTCAGAACAACAGCAAGATCGGTGACATCGACCAACGACTTCACCCTGGGCGCACTCAGCTTTCTGCCTGTGTGTTACCCAGTGAACACACCTGGTCTGGTGCAGCGTAGCTGAGACTCCCTCATGCAGGCCCTCTTGGGGGGTGCAGGCTGACGCACAGTGCTGTTTGTTGGGTCACACACCTGGGATGTTGTTGCTCTGGGTGTGAGTGTGTGTGTGTGTCTGTGTGTGTATCTATGTGTTGTGGGGTCACACGCCTGGAATGATGTGTCTCTGTGTGTGTGCGTGTGTGTGTCTCTGTGTGTGTGTCTGTGTTTGTTGTGGGGTCACACACCCGGGGATGTTTGTGTGTGTGTCTGTGTGTGTGTGTTGTGGGGTCACACACCTGGGATGTTGCTGCTCTGTGTGTGATGGGGTCACACACCTGTGATGATTTGTCTCTGGGTGTGAGCATGTGTGTGTGTGTGTGTCTATGTGTGTTGGGTCACACACCTGGAATGATGTGTCTCTGTGTGTGTGTGTGTGTGTGTCTGTGTATGTGTCTGTGTGTATGTTGTGGAGTCACACACCTGGCGATGTTTGTGTGTGTGTGTCTGTGTGTGTGTGTGTGTGTGTGTTGTGGGGTCACACACCTGGGGATGATGTTTGTGTGTGTGTGTGTATGTGTGTGTTGTGGGGTCACACACCTGGGATGATGTGTCTCTGTGTATGTCTCTGTGTGTGTAGCTGTGTGTGTTGTGGGGGTCACACACCTGGGGATGTTTGTGTGTGTGTGTGTGAGTGTGTGTGTGTCTCTGTGTGTGTGTCTGTGTGTATTGGGTCACACACCTGGAGATGATGTTTGTGTGTGTGTGTGTCTGTGTGTGTAGCTGTGTGTGTTGTGGGGTCACACACCTGGGGATGTTTGTGTGTGTGGTGTGTTGTGGGGTCACACCTGGGTGTGTGTGTGTGTGTGTCTCTGTGTGTGTAGCTGTGTGTGTTGTGGGGGGTCACATCTGGGGATGTTTGTGTGTGTGTCTGTGTGTGTGTTGTGTTGTGGGGTCACACACCTGGGTGTGTGTGTGTGTGTGTGTGTGTGTGTAGCTGTGTGTGTTGTGGGGGTCACACATCTGGGGATGTTTGTGTGTCTGTGTGTGTGTAGTGTGTGTTGTGGGGTCACACACCTGGGGATGTTTGTGTGTGTGTGTGTGTGTGGTGGGGTCACACACCTGAGGATGATGTGTGTGTGTCTGTGTGTGTCTGTGTGTGTGTGTGGTGGGGTCACACACCTGGGGATGATGTGTGTGTGTCTGTGTGTCTGTGTGTGTGTGTGTGTGTGTGTGTGTGTGTGTGTGTGTGGTGGGGTCACACACCTGGGTGTGTGTGTGTGTGTGTGGTGTAGTCACACATCTGGGGGTGTGTGTGTGGTGGGTCACACACCTGGGGATCATGTGTGTCTGTGTGTGTGTGTGTCTCTGTGTGTGTGTGTGTGTGCGCGTGTGTGTGTGTTGTGGGGTCACACATCTGGGGATGTTTGTGTGTGTATCTGTGTGTGTGTAGTGTGTGTTGTGGGGGTCACACACCTGGGGATGTTTT